CCACACTAGACTCTGGGTCTGTGCAAGGCGCTGACCCTAGTGCCTCACTGCTGTTCTTGTTCCCAAAATTTAAAAGCATCCAGCGTTGGCAGTTTTGAACAGATGAGCATGAAAATTTGTACACATAAACTAGAGGTGATTTCCAACAAACGTTCATCACCATTTTTTAAAATTTGACCCCAGGGTTCCCCCTACACCTACAAAACAGGGGTTTCAGCAAGGACTGTACATTAGATTCAGATTTCAGATTCAGATTTCTTTATTAACTTCAAATGGCAGTAAAATACTGAATTGCAAAAGTTTACAATATATAGATAAAATTGTTATTAAAAAGTACAGAAGAGAAAAAATTGAACAACACACAGCACCACAAAGTTTAAAAACATTACTGCCATTACCACTAATTGGGCACGTCGCATGGATGGTGCGGTCAGTTAAGGATGTGCTCTAAAGAATGTAAGGTTGTGAGTTTGAATCGCGTCTTGGTATTCAATTTTAAGATATTTAAATTTTGTACAAATGAACATTCTAAATAATTTTTTTTGTACAAATAAACATTCTAATTATTTAAAAATGTCTATCTTATCAGGCACTTTGAAACTTTAGATAGTATAAAGCGCTAGATATCTAATTACATACCGTACATTATATTTACAAATAAAATATTTGTATATCAACATTCAACATACAATTACATTGAGTTAATTTACACTTGAAAATTGTAAGCAACAGAATTCTGAATTTATTCAGTTTAAGAGCATGAACGAGATTGCTACTGGGTACATCACTAAGTCTACATCCTACCTCATAGTTTATGTTTACACACAAGCTTTTTTTGTAATTTCTAGTTGAAAGCTGGTTAACTTTTTTATTTAAAGCCTACATAATTAGATTTTAAGGTATATTAGCTGGAGAAGCCCCAGGAGGATGATAGAAATAAATCTTATGTTGATTGAAAGTTGAGTAAATGGAGAAGGGGAATACTGTACTGTTCAAGGTATATGTGTGTCAGTACAACTATACCTTTTGTATACATCATAATTACTGTTCGAATCAATTTGTTATGTTGAGAAAGGGAGTTTCAGTCCTGGAGCTATTTAGTTACTCTACTAATAAGATAATGCAGTAGGCTTTAGAATGCAATATTAAAATCATTATCTGTGTGCAAGTAAAACGAAAAATAACTGCTATTAACAAACAGTTTCGTGTGTGTAACTCGACCCACAATCATCTTTTGATCACGTACAATCTAAATTAGACAGTGAGTCTCACAGAGAACAATGATTTCAACAAGGAACCACAATTGCAAGTGAATCTATATACATCACCTTGAACAAAATTTGACATTAATTTTCATTCACGTCATCAATCATGAATTATATTTTTTTTGACAATCTCCAGCCGAGATGTCTCGTAAATATCTGACGGCTAGTTCCTTCGTAAATTTAACCAATATGGTTTTTCTTCACAATTAATGAATTTCGCTAAGCAACCGTGAAGGACTTTCTAGTGGGGAAAAGCAATATTTAACAGACGAGTGAATCTACATATTTAATCTTCAATTCTTCTAAGATAAAATTACTTAACAGGAGATGTGTCTCAGAAAAAAAACACAGTAAAGACCACATGATCCTGTGAATGAGCACAAAGTCAACTCAGATACATTACTTTCTTAAAAATTAATCTCTTATAAACTATTAACGCAAAACAACCTAAACTAAAAAAGTTACTTAAAATTACGAAACTAGTGCCGAGCAACAACATACTATACTACTATACTATAGGTGGCCTATTTTCATCGATCCTTTATTACTAAGTGATATTATATCATATAAGCCCACATTCGGGTACAATCCCACCCCACTTTATGTTTGATTTAACATAGTGTTTTGCAAGGCAAAAGAAACAGGTATTTGAATGAGCATCTCATCTGACTTCCAGAAAAACAAAATCAAAGATTATCTTTGAATTGGGTGGGCTGGGTTGAAAATGTTCAATCTGATTTGCGAATAAAGTTTCTTTCGCAAAAGAAGCTTCCACTGGTCTAAGCCCACATGCAAAATCAACTCAAGTCCATTCCATTGGGACTCAGAAAAACTGTGGTAAATAGTATCATACAAATGTAATGTTAAACATTAATATGCTACACATCATAATTAAAAACCCTGATTATTAATTCTAATAGAAACTTGACTTAGGCTAAGTGAGTAATGTACCCCTAGAGGTCCCCCTAGCCTATAGCAGGTACATAAATTTAGTAGTATCGATGAGACATTGACTAGCCCAGGAAGCTATATTTAACTTTCTTGTACAATAATAATGTACTGTATAAAACATTTATAATTCAAAACATGTATAAAAATAAAGACAATAATTATTATGCTAGTAGCAAACTTAAGAATAATTATGAATCGGTAGCTTGCTTGCACCACAATGTACAGTGGCCTACGGTATGAATAGCAATGCCATATATTATATATATATTTAGTGACTCAAATTAATTGTGATCTCAAGTAGATACACAATGATCCAGAATGCACTGAAACTTTTTTAATTAATTAATGTAGAAAATAAGTTCTGAAACAATAATCCTATCACCACCTTGTTTCTCCCTTTCCCATTTCTGAAACATTGAATTCACTATGGTGGGAATGCATCGCAAATATTTAAAACTTTATTTTACATATCCTACAGGAAGAATCATACAGCAATACAATGTTTAGTATAATCAACAAATTTGCTGCAGACTTTGTTGATCTGATCCATGCTTTACAGAACTAGGTTAACGATCTTGTTCTTATTCAGCAGCAATTACTATCCAGAGATTTTTTATGATCTGCTTGATCAAAAATATACAAAGTGACAAAACACTCTGCAAAAATTCAAATTTTGAAAGCACAATCAGCTGTAATAAATGAGTGGCCAATTGTGTTGTACAATTCAAATTACTTCGACCTATCAGCTTGGTGTATAAAACTGAGCACCATTTACTGTCAACACAGAGATAAATTTTAATCTTCATAATTCTGTATCCAAAAATTGACACAGATCTAGTTATTCAAAAAGTGACACTAATTAGAAAAATGACAGTTTAGCTATACAGTAATGTACTGCATATTTTGAATTTACAATTGTCCAATGTATCAATTGAATGAATAATCTGATTGGATGGAAGCCCATACTATTTACAAAGTCTAAAAAAAACAAAAAACAGTGCGACTGCTGCAGGATTTGAACTGACGACCAGTGAATTGGAAACCTGATGTCTTTACTGCTAAGCTGCATGATTCCAACTCTTGATCCTGAAATGGAATTAGCTTAGCACAGATCATATTGCAAGTTAATTAGTTTTGCCTCTAACATGGCTCAATTGTTCAGATATAGAAAGCAGTCTAAATTAAGCATTTGTTCTAGATTGCTTCTTGCATGATTAACCATAAAATTGTGAAATTTACTATGGAATTGTTGTCAATATTTTCTTAAATCAACAATAAAATAGACTAGATGAGATTTTAGATGAAACTAACTAAAACTTGTAAACTGTAACTTCTAGCAAACTTTTAAAATCTGTGCCAAACTATCTGCAAATTCTATCACACAAAGGCTGCCTACTGAACTTTTTGGTGGAGGTAATGTTTACAACAAGTAGCAGGGCATGCCAAAAGCCTATCCTCCAGCAACATTCTGTGTATATCGTGTGATTTATCTTGGAAGGGCTTAGTGGCTATATTAATAATTGTAAGTTTGGCAATATAAATTAAGCTTACAATGGACTCAATTTCCAAATCAAACAAAAAACAGTTGATGAAATGATATATTTACAGCATTATTGCACTAGTACAATAACATGGCTGACATAGATGTAATGTACACATTAGATAGGGTGCAGTAGACCTTTAACCAAAAGATTTAAGTTAGGAATGAACCAACTGACAATTCTGCAAAAAATTTACTTTAAAAAAAAGTAAAAAACTAGTTTCCCTTACAGACACTCGATCCCATGCCTGGTCACTTATCATAGATGCATGAGCAGTGAAGTGTGTATAATCACAAATTGTGTAGTAGGCCTATTTGCTAACAACTTTTCATTCTCCTATATCATGTATACCAATCAGCGAAAGCGATATTTTTTAACATTTCATTAAATAACATAAATTTAATATGATATATAAAGTACAGTACATTTCAGACATTCCCCTATTCCCCCTTCCACTAAAGCCTTGTTTCCACACCTGTACTTTTTATTCCAAACTAATTCCCTTCCTGAATAGATTGCAATTTATGTATTAGTCATGAATGTACAGCAGTACAGTTGTTTGTAGTAATATACCATAATGTTGGTCTGGTGCCAACATTTCAGGCAGGCAGAGCAGTTCGAGTAATTTATTGGCTGAAAAATGATTAATGAAACACCCTAGGGCGTAAATCTTTGGCAATTCGAGGGGGTAAAAACATGCACAAAACAAGCCACAATTCAAGGGCCATGGACCCATACACTTAATTAACACAGTGACATCAGAATTACAGACAGATTTATACAGTACATAAAAAAGCCATGATTAAAGAGCCATTGATTCCTGCTACAAAACAATATAACCAGAATGATAGGACTAAACAGCTGCCCTAGGCTAGTCAGATTTACAAATGCATCACAGGCTGATGCCTTTCAAGGCGCCAAGGCCCAGCCCAGCAAGTTGCTAAGGGCAGGGAAAGGGGAGGGGTTGCGTGGGCGAACTCGGAAGTAGGGCCTAACTAAGTACATAGGCCTAGGTTAGTACCTAGTCATGCCGATTTTTCAAATTCTAATTTTTCTGTCCAATGAATGAAAAATTAATTACAGTACTAAATGGCAAGTTGCGAAGTTAATCAGGAAAATATTCTGACAGAAGTATCAAGGAGAAGGCATGGGCCTAGGCTAGATCCTGGGCCTATATTTTTGGTTGGTGGCGACAATCAATGACAATACAAATTAAGTAAGAGACCAGTCGTGTGGAACGTACGTGTCTCTTCTCTGGTAATGTGCTGGCCGCTGCACCACGGCAGGCTTAGCAATTTTTGTTTAATAAACTTACTAGTAAAATGGATAAATTCTGCAAAATACACCTCCAGTAAGCAAATGCAATAAAATCTCTCAACCCGTACGCAACAAATGCTTCTCTATTTGTACGTTGTACTGTGTAACAAAACCTTCCATAGCAAAGTGACCATCCATGTCACTTTTGTGTGTTTGTTACTTACTTTTTTTTTTCCAGGCAGGCCCGCTAATTACAGAGGGCGCTATATCAACTTTTTGATTTAATCATCGTATTTAAGGACAAAAATGTTTGATACGACGCCTGCACAAATCTTGAAGAAATATATTGCAGCACAATCCTTTCAGATGTTCTTAACATTAAGGACATTTTTTAACTTCCAATTTATTCTTCATTCAAACACATCGAAATCGCAACCTTACGGATGAATTGCACGATATTTACAACAACAAAAAAAAAAAAAAAGGAACAAAATAAATTTTTTTAAATGTAATCCATTACAAAAAAACATGGATATTTGTTTAGAATATTGTAACTGCAAACTTTTTTTTAATTTCAAGCAGAACATCCGAAACACAACACTTAAAGGGTGGACATGAATGCAAATAATTAAAAAAAAAAAAAAACAAGAACAAGGAACATTTAAAAATTCATTGAAAATTGGATAAAACAAAATAACATTAATTTTAAAATATTAGAAAGAACAAAATGTCAATTGAAATATCGTAAAGTAACAATTTTACACTAACACTAATCTAAAACTACACATCAAAAGCATACATGTGAGAATGCAATACCGGTATTCAAATTACGTTAGTAAATGTAACAGAGTTAATATAATATAAGAATGTCTATACACATGTAACAACATAGCATGTACGTTATGTTTTCTTAGGTACATCCTGCAACACAGGGTAACAGGGGTTGTATGAACCTGTACACCGGGGTAACCCCCTGCTCGTCTTGAAAGATGTACTGGTTCTTTAAAGTGTGCACATACGCCGATTGTGTACACTGGATGGGTGACGGGTGATGGGTGTCTATGGTTTATAGTCCTTATCCGAGAAGACGTGTTCCACCACCAAAACCAAAAGGTGAGCGTGCAGCTCAAACTAGATATTATCATGGATGTAGGTGGCGGCGCCCCGCCATGACCGCTCGGCCATTCGTACGTACGAAAAAATCTCTTCATATACTCTTTCTTTAGGCCTACGTATTAGTAAAGATAGTTGAATTGCCTTCAGAAGAATTATTAAAGTTATCATATCCAGCTAGATTGCAAAAAGGCCTAACTCGTCACTACGGTGTGAAGTTCTATAACTCTGCAGTCTTCTTAGTGAAGACGGTGCAAGTTGGTTTTAAATCTTACTAATGTTTTGCTGTGCTTTAATTGTATTACCGTACTCGCGCGAATAAGCGCACCGTTTGAATATAATAAGCGCCCTCTCGAAGCCCCTCTTAAATAACGTGAAAATTTCTTTAAGCGCCCCGTTGAATAAGCACCCCTTCTAATTTGAATAAACGCCCCCTTAATAATTCAATCAATCCTGGACTGTGGATGTTGGCATGATTTGAGGTGTGGAGTGGAATCACATTCTCCTTTAGTCAATATCAAAATGAGGATATTTATCTTGGACAGATGAGAGCTCCCTGGACAAAGAGTAGGCCTATATTTCCAGGCTTTCATTTTCTTACATTTTTCTATAGCCTAGCCCTACTGCTTTTCCGACAATTTGCACATTCTCATCTGAGTTTTCAAGAACCTGCAATGATCATGCCATCCTGCTAATCTCAATCGGCCGATGGCCAACAAGCTAACCACCACCACTAATTTCATCTGCTATTTTACATTACATTCTTGTCATGACAAGCCATGCTCTCTGGACGATTACCGGTATCTTTTCCACCGCACCACCATTCGTAATTTGCGGTTTCCTGATGTCTAGGCCTAATCGTTTTTCATTCAAAATGTGCCTCTTGAATGTAATAAGTTCTCATAAGAACCCCTCGATTTTCTATTTCCATAAGCGCCCCCTCAATTTCCACTCTGTTTTGATAAGCACCCCGTTTGAATAAGCGCTCCTTAAAAAATGCAAAAAATATTTTAAGCGCCCGGGCGCTTATTCGCGCGACTACGGTATATCGTATTGTGTTTCTTAAAATACTGAGAACAGTGCTTTCTGAAATAAATCGGCGTATAATAGCTTTAATGCAACAACAGGATTCTGGTTAATTTAAACAATGGCAATGTATTGTCTTCCTCTTGTAACTGAGTTAGTTGTGAAAATATTAAGAAAATACGAGGGACGTAAAGTTATCTCTGAATACTAAATAGGATCGAGTGTGATTATCAGCAATTAGGACTTGGCCGTATCGAATAAAATCACTGAATTTAAAACTTTGAACGCCGGAAGATCCAGACATGTCGACGACTTTATTTTAATAGCCACAGGGGCTGGAATTTTCTAGTAATGCTACTAATATTTCCATTTGCCTCTAAAGTTTTAACAAGAACTAGGCTACACGTAGTTGATCTCCAACTTGAATTAATTCCATCCGGTCAGCTGAATGTATTCGATGCGGATCACAACGCCGTGAATTACAGCAAATACATAAAAACAAATGAATTGTACTAAAATTAGTATATGTTTTTCCCAAAGTAGAAAACTATGCATATGCCAAAATCGAATCTTTTTCAATTACAAATCTAGATGCTAAGTCCAATATAGGTGCGTTTGAATATCGGGGCGTGTCCGATTCACGCAATCGTTTTTAATTCCCAACTTGAATTGGAGAACAAAAGTTCATTGTGTCGCTCTTTCCGAAACTTTTAAGAATTATTAGCTGACCTTTTATCTTTAAACAAATGTTGCCTTTTTGTTTCAATCAATTTTGTCTTTGAGAAATTTAAATTGGTAACAATCCTACACGCAATTATTTTACAGGGGTTGCAGAATAAGTAAGTATACTGCTATTATTGCCTTTTTTTCACTGAAAACCAAACGCAACATAGGCTATCTCATTTCACTGACAACAACCCAGTGAACACTGAGGTCAATGAACATTTTAATCATCAACTAAATTTAACGTAATACACAAAGGCAACATCCAAAGAAACTTAGGCCTAACTATAAGTTTAAAGATGCACTATATATAGCCGTTCTTCCTTAAACCACGCCCACCTGCGCAGTGGTAAATTCATACTTAACGAAGACGACCAGTCGAATAGAAAACTGGTAAATACACTCGACAAAACAAAATGGCTGCATAGTTACCGCGATACACGCTGCGTAATCAAGGCTGCCTCGGATTGTGGCAGTATGAGTTTTTCGTAAAAAAAAATGTTTTCATCCAGTTTTTGAATTCTGTTAGCCTACAGTTATTTTTTGACTTCAATATGGGTAAATATTGTAATTTTTATTTTCTGAAATTTAATCTAAATTATATTAAAGCAAATGTTGTTGTTAAACCGACCAATCGGCCATATTTTTTGGTCACGTGCATAACTTAACGCTGATTAACGCATTCTGGTTACGTTAATTTTCGCTGTCAACGAAGTCTATTTTACGAACCAGTGGAATGAAAATAATAGGCCTACTCAACGAAAATTAGTACTCAACGAAATGAACCAGTCGAATAAGTCCTATAAGTAAAAAGGACAGGAAAATACAAATACAGGCCTACCTGTAGCTCATTTAAAAGGATAAAATTAATTAATAACTTTCAGCGAGAAACAGATCGAATAAAATAGTTTTCATCGATTTGCTGACATTTTACTACAAAAATCCTTAAATTTATTAAAGTAACATGCCAGTTTAAGGATCTTGTGCAAAAGAACAAGAAAATTTATTATTTATAACTGTCCAAAAATTGACTAGGGATTTTGTTTTATTATTCTAATTTTTAATTGGAAGTTAATAACTTACTTAAATATACAAATAAAGCAATTGAATTGCTAAATTAAAATTTTAATTTTACTTGCCTCAGGCTGGTAGTATATCTTTAATGTTCGAATAATTCCATCAGGCTTTTTATTATAATGTTATAAAATAGAATCACAATCCAGAAAAAAAAAAAATCTATTGCACGATATACAGTAAACAGTAATCCAGTATAGAAGTAGATTGGACATTTTCAGTGATTTGATACAGGTAACTAAACACACAGATATTAGTAATTTAAACAAATACTAAATGTTATTGCTAACAGGGCAAATTGCATAAATAATCAGACTCTCGTCTTGTACCGACAAACAATATTCCTTATTGAGCTGATCATGTCACATATACTATTACCAAAAATATGGTGGTGGTGGTGGTGGTGATGTTGGTGATATGATGATGGTGGTGGTGGTGAAGAAGATGAGGGTGATTACGACGCCGATCTCGATAACGATGACGATGGTGGTGATGATAACAGCAGCGGTGGCAACAACAACAGCAGTAGCAAAAACAGCAACAATTGTTGTTATCAGTATACTACAGTATTCAATCTCACTACTATTCGTCGTCGCATTATCATTATCATAATATTTTATTATAATTACTATTAGCATGATTATTTCCCTCATTTATTTTCTCTGGCGTGTAGATTCAACACGAGAACTCGTACATCAGAGTATACGGGCATTGCTTTTAATGGCTAAGCGAATAGAGAATGATGGCCGGAAATCAACCATACGTCTTCTTTCACCGAACGAAATTATAAACGTTTCCTATATCTCGTTAATATATGTTAATCATTGCTGTCATGGACCCCTGGTAATAAAACATTTTTCTACATCATAGTATGTGCAGCCAAAACGATCTCAATTTCAAGAAATGTTGAGTTTGCGTGAGCTGACCTGAAAATAATTCTGAGCTCTTATTTTGTGTCTTCCTGACACCAGATAGTGCCTACAAGTTTTTTTTTTCCTCAAGACTTTTTGTTTTGTACAAATATGTCTGAATAAATAATGCATATTCATATATTAATTATCCATATTATTAATAATATCAATGATATCAATAATACTGTAATTTAATATTTTTAATATTAATATCATTGTTAATAATAATGCTTGTTGAAAAAGTAAACATCCGGTCTTCTCTATCCTTGAATGGGTGTGACGCAGCGCGTATC